GCAAGTAAGTTGCATTCTCTTTCTCGTTTCTTCTTTTGCGTTGTTGAATCACTTGATGCGTCTGCGACTCCGCTTCGTCTCCGCTCTGCTGAGTTGCTTGGTGAGATGCGATGGATCACGTGATGCGACTTTGATTTGATTGGATGGATGGAAAGGGAATGAGTGCATACAATCAGAATTATTTTTTTTTTGCGTTTCTTGCGGGAGTTTGAATTTTCATCTCTTCAGTACTGAAGAGAAATTGGCGTGGCTTGTCGGCCGCCATGTTCAGCTTCCATTAAACCCGAACCTCCCTCAAGTTTCAACTTTCTTATCCTTACCTCTCCTTCCTCTGTTCACTAATTCTAACCCAACTTCCTAACAGAATCCTAAAATTCTGCAAAGACCACACCCTCTACCCATCCATCAAAGCTGGGGGGTACGGTACAGCCGGGTGGGCAATTAACGGGGACATCGTTGTTGACCTCTCGAGATTGAATGATATTGATATCGAAATGCCTCGCCCCGTTCCAGAGACTAATAATAAATCGGAGCATGGTGGGTTTACGAGGTTGAGGGATAGTCCGATTCAGGAGAGTGTCGGTGGGAAGGGTAAGGCGAAAGAAAGCGATTCTTCGAGCGTGATAGAGGAGAGAACAGGCGGGTTCGGTGAGAAAAAGGAGAGCAGGAACGGGAATGACGAGAGGAACGGAAACCCTTCGAATGGTAATGAACCGGGAATGGGAATGGGAACGGGGAAGAGGAGACGAAGTCCGTTCGATACGTCTACAGGTCTTCCACGCGACCCGTTCGTCGCGAAGTTCCTTCAAATGGACGGCTCTGGCAGCGAAGGAAACGAAGATGAAAGTAAAGTGGAGAAAGATGACTTGCCTTCTCCTCCAATTCGTCGTCGACTCGACAACACCCATGCCGATACCAACACGCGTACGTCAACTTCCATTGTATCTGGTATATTTGGTGTACCTACCGTCGACCTTCGTGATCATGGCCCAGGAACCGGAACGATCAACTACAGCGAGAATAAAAGCGAGGACGGGGACCAGTTGCTCAATTTAGGCTCGGACAGCATGTCTCCCTCCGGGAGCGCGATAGGGAGCGGGAGCTCAAACACCACCAGTACTGGTACGGATCGGATGATCTCCAATGATGGATCCTACATTTCCACGACTACCTCCAGCACATCTATGTCTGTGTCCGGTTCTGGTTCTGGTTCGACGGCGTATACGACCCCCGCGGGTAGTACAGTGGCTACCAGTACTGGTAATGCCAGTGATGACGGGAAGGGCCTAAGTGATGTTGATATGGATGTGGACTTGGATGAAGGAAATGAGAAAGAGAAAGAGAAAGAAGACGCTGCAGATGTGATTGAGACCGTCTCTGCTGGTTTAGCTGACCCGAGTGGTGTTATGGAGGGGTTACGACAAATGGTTCCTTCCTTTTCCCCTTCCTCCTCATTTTCTCTTTCCTCGTCTGCTGATGGTGCTGGGGTTACTTCTGGTACCTCTGCTACTCTTCCCACACCAACAAACACCACACAGGCTCAAGCAAACAATACATCCTCTGCGCCAACTCCAACCCTAGCTCAAGCCCCTTCCTCCACCACCACATCCCGTCCAGAAAACTTCAGCATCCGCTCCGTCGATCCCTTCGGATACATGAGCGTCCCAGCGAGTGGGCGAGCTCCCACATACGTCTCGGGTGTGAGGCCGCAGCGGGGTTATGAGCAGCCTGCGTTTGGTCTGGGTGGTACTAGTACCACTACTGCTACTGCTGCGAATCCACTCTCTTCTTCCGGGATTGTGGGAGCAGGGGCAGGACCGTCGAGTGTGCCTATGGTTGTTGACTCCTCTTCCGAGGGCATCAGTTCGGGGACGGCGACCGGGAGGCCCGGTTTCTTGTCTGTCGTGAGTGACGTTTTCTTGTGTATCCTATCTCGTATCTCGTTCGCGTTACTGACCGACAATCTGATTTCATGCTATTTGGATTTGGAACGGAACACGAACGATTAAAATCAAATAGGCAGCTACACCCGTTCACCCATATGCATACGTTTCCTTCGGTGCAGGCGTTAAACAAAAAGATATCGACTTGTTCACTGCTGCGCATCCGTTACCTGCTACGTCTGCGAATGGGAGCGTGTCGTCGAGTATTCCGTATCATGTTCCTTTGTGCGTCCACCCTCTTTCTTTTTCCTTCTAAGTTTGAGTCTCAGTGCTTTTTGTGCTAACGTGCGAATTTTCCTTTTTCCTTTCTTTTTTTTGATTTTCTATTCGATGGCTTTGTGGATGTAGAGCTGCGCATCCCGTCGGCTCGAGCGTGATGATGCTCGGAGGATTCGGGTTCCTTTCTCGTCTTCACGGACTCTCGATCGATGCGCTTGTAGAGGTGGAGATGGTACTCGCGGACGGAAGCGTTGTCTATGTGAGCGAGAACGAGAATCCTGGTCAGTTCCTGTTCCTTTACGCTTTTCCAACCAACACTACCCATTATTTGATATCTACCCCCTCCAAAAAAGCATTGAACAGAGAAGAATGCGACCGTTAATGATTGATTTGCTTTTATTATACAGATTTATGGTGGGCGCTTCGAGGTGCTGGACCTGCGTTCGGTGTCGTAACGAGGTACAAAGCAAAGGCTTATCCCGTACCTGTCGTCTTTGCAGGGAACCTCATCTAGTACGTCTCCCAGTCTCCTTACCCTCTCTTTCTTTTATTTTAAATACCTATCCTTTATCTTTATTTCTCGCGACAGCAACTTCCATCCACACACCGCCGCCTCACTCATCAAACACTTCCGCGACTGCGTCAAAGCCGCTCCGCGCGAACTCTACGCCAACGTCCTTCTCACCGCCGGACCTGCCGACAAAGGTTCTCTCGTCGTCGTCCAACTGTGTTACGTCGGGCCAAAGGAGAAGGGAAGGGAATTTTTGCAGGCTCTGCAGAGCGTGGAGAGTGGGGAGAAGTGTTTGTTGAATGAGGTGTGTGAGAAGACTTTCTTGAGTCAGCAGGATAGTGTTGCGCAGATTTTGAGGGGGAAAGGTGAGCTGTTAGTTCCTATACTCATTCAATGGCTAATTGATAATTTGCGTTGTGTCTAGCTGGGCGACAGTGGTACATCCGCTCGGCTCTGATTACTTCTCTCCCGGATGAGGTCATACATAAGACGGTGAACGAGTTTGCGGATACGCCTGTTGGGTGCAGTGAGTCTTCTTCCTGTTCTCCCTTTCATCGCCCTTTCCGCTTCTCCCCTACTCTCCATTGAGACCCCTTCCGTTTTGCTATACATTATATTTCCCCGTGCCAGCCTATCGGTCTCGGCATTGATTCGTTCTGATTGACTTTTACGTTTCGTATCCACATTCTCGCTTTTTACTGACGTCTTGGTTTGCCTGTCCCTCCCCTCTCTTACTTCTCCCGCCCGTTATCTTCACGAACAATGATAATGACGATGACGACGATGATGTCTACACAACACAGCCTGGTTATTCGAGCTTGCCGGAGGCGCAGTAGCCGATACAGAAGACACATGTCTCCCAAAGTCGCAGCGAGAAGCTGGATTCACGATCGCTGCATTCCATCAGTGGGAGATTGACGATGACGATCCGTTGTGTGTTACTACTGCTGAGCAGGTATGCTCCCTTCCTTTATTTGTCCTCTTGACTTCCCGTCTTCTGTTTCCTCTACCTTTCCCCGCCCCTTGTCCTTCGTCTTTCATATTTCTTTACGTATTTCCGGTTCGCCATTCTTCCCCTTCCATCTTTCCGTCCACCCTGTGCAGGTGGTGTCCCCCGAAGCGAGAAGGAAATTTTTGAAGATGATAAGATCGATATGCAAGCTGATTAACTGACTGTCCTTTATTTTACGTGTACAGTGGATTGAGAAGACGCTAGCACCTGTGGCCACAGGTGGACCGTACCCAGCTGTGAGTATTCTCTTTATCTATCTGTAATCTCCACTTGATCATGTGGACTTTACTGTCAACTGACTCACTTCTTCCTATTCATCTTTTTCGTACTCCCACTCTATTTTACCTTCTTTCTTCGACTGCAATCGCATTACGCAAAATGCCTCGCGTCCTCCGAAATCCGAAACCCGAAACGAAAAATAGTTCTTTGGCCGCCACGAATCTTCCAAACGCATAATCGGCTCTTACGGCTCGGACAACTTTGCCCGCCTGCAATCTATTAAGCAGAAATACGATCCCTCCAATATATTCCGACACACTTTCTGGTGTGTCGATGAACGTGGCGAGGTGGTGGAGCCGTGTGATCGCGAGCCGCAATCGCCAATTATGCATGCTAAGGACGTTGACAGTAAGGAGGAAGTTGTTCTGGAAGGAGTGGAGGTGTGAAATGGGATTATGGGATTTTCGGGTGGAATTTTTTTCAATCTGTCTTGGTTCCGGGAAGTAGTCGTTGTGATCTAAGGGTATTCGACTTATATTCCGTACAAGAATGGATTTCTTGGATTTTGGGTGTTCATCTGTCGGCAAATGTATGTATCACTTTTGTACGTTGTACTTATATGTTTTACGGTTGTAGGCACGTCGTCCTTTTTGGGTTGAATTATGGATACACCAGTGTTGTGAAGTAGTATCCTAATGCTACACCTCTGCGATTCCGTTCTTTCTGCAGACAACAAATGGAAATACAAAAAGAGCGAAGTCAAGCAAATGAGAAATGAGACAAACAACTTGAACACGTTTATTTATTGTGGTACACTGTTACACGTGAACGATACAAGTACATATGTATATCTTTCTTTGCATGTTGTACATTGATATTTATCGTCTATATATCTTCAGGACGCGTTAGTAAAAGGTTGAGGCGTGGAGAAACTACGGTCATAGAGATGTTCGTGATATGAGGAAAGGAGGAAGGAAGGAAAACATCAACAGACATGTGTGTGAACGAGAGATGAGAGATGAAAGATGAGGGATGAAAGAGAACGCAGCACAACATAACATAACACAACAGCATCATACAAACAGCATATCACAACAAGGAACAACATGGCACATGTAAATCAGTTATACAAAGTAGTAGAAATGCTTCCGCACAAAGGGGGGGGGGAATAGATCGTCAATTCCGGAACAAGAAAACACGTGGAAAAAAATCCAAAGAGTCGAAGACGAAAAGATCAAGTAACAGGAACCAAGAAACTTGCCAACGCAAGCCCAACATCCCCTTCCTCACTCTTCACCACAAGCAAGCAATCTTCTTCTCCCTCTTCTAAATCCAAACATAGGCCCTCAAACTGCTCCGGATGGCCCAGTTCACTCAATACGCCGAATATATCCCCTTCTCTCAGCGTAAGGAAGGGCAAGTCCATGTATATCGCGCCGGCGGGAGGTGAGCATGGGTGGATGGTTTCGACGTAGTACATCGAGGGACTGTTAGGCGGGGGCGTTATGTCTAGCGGTAAAGGGACTGGTGGAACCGACGAGTTCGTAGAGTGCGAGTGGATGTAAGAGTACGAAGTAGACGAGGGTTCGTGAAACTGTAACCGTGAATGGCTGGTAGTAGATTTCTGTGACCGTTGCGAGCCAACAGACTTCTGAGAAGGCGAACGTCGTAAAGGCGTACGCAACGTCTCACTCAACTTCTGACTCAAACTCGAACTTCGCGACTTCCTCCCTCGGACTTCACCACTCCTCGAGTCTATCGATTCTGCATACTCGTGCGTCGAATTTACGTATGTGGCTGTAGTCGCGGTGGCAGTTGAAGTTGAAGGATACATCCCATACGCGTTAAGCGAATGTTGTGATGAAGATGCCATCGCAGCGGCAGCAACAGCAGCACCGGACACTGAAGCTGGGAACGGAGAGGTATTCGACCGCGCTTTCATCCTTCCAAACCCCCCTTCCGGCGTGCGCGGACGAGACTTCCCGTGCGTAGAAGCGGCGTTCGAATAAAACGTCGGTACGCTCTCTGCTGAGGGGGACGAACGCAAGTTTCTCGGCGGTGTGCCATGGACCAAGGCGAGAGAAGAATCCAAGGATCCGATGCTACGATGTCGCATCGACGCCGACGACGAAGACCCAGAAAAGGCGGAGGACGGGGAGTTAGGTAGGGGAGTCATATGGGGAAGAGAAGAGGAATAATCCATACTGGAGACGTCGGATGCTCGAGAACGTGCTGGTGACCTGGGGTAGACGGGTTTTTCGCGTTTGAGGATGGTTAGTCTGCTTATTGCGTCTTCGACTTCGGAGTATCGCGTCCACCAGAGCGTGAGTGTTTCGACACAGCCGGCGTTCGTCTCCCCTTCCATTCGTAAGCAGTCCCACAATGATCCCCATTGGTCACGCACTGTACTCCAGAACGCTGTCTGTCGATGAGCAAACTGCCGGATGCACATTACGATTCCTTTGTCGAGGAGCTCGAGATACTTGGGTAAGTCAGTAGCAAGTTGGCCACGTAGTGCCAAGTACTTCTGAGATGCCTCCATTAAGGAAGGTGTCGGTCGATTCCTCGAATAATTGAGATTGAGCAACGCATTGTGCAAAGGTTCAAGGGTGTGCATCACAGTTAACAATCGTAGCGGTGCCTTCGAGGTATCGAGCAAGCTAGCCAACTCCGGAAGCAGCTCTTTCGCCACTACATCTTCCAGCTCCTGGCAAAGAGCCACAAGCCTCGTGTTGATAGTGTCCATGAACGCGTCAAACGCCTCGGACGGCTGTTCCTCGCTGATCCCGATCGTCCTCCCAAAATCAATTGCCCATTCACGCAGGTGCGTCTGCGACGCACGCACAGTCTGGGCCCACCCAACGATGTCCTTTGCGAATTCACGTACGAACCCTTCGCACCTTCTTAACTCCCGCTCGTGTTCCGCCACACGTGCTGCCTCCTCGTTGTTTTCCTCCTTTGGCCGAGAAGCACGGAGACCCATGCTAATGCTCTTCATGCGTCCAAGACCGCCTTGGTTGGACTTTCCGATGCTGAGCTTCTTCTGTAGAGCGGCCGGTTTACTAACGTCCGCCTTCGATGACAAAATCTCCTTCACGACCTCTATACGACGTCGCCCTTCGTTCACTGCCCGCGCGACCTCTTCCATCTTATTCCGGGCTTTCTTAAGGTTGTCCTTGTCACTGTGGTCATCTGGAGTTTGTTCGATGATTGTGGTGAGAAGTAAAGAATATTTCAGAAGTCGCTGAACAGGCTTGATGAGAAGCGAAGGCAAATCCCAAGCGTGCGTCACCGACGAAGCCAGGTTCTGCGTCTGTGCCAAATAATTCGCTAACGCAGGCGTCCGAGGCAACGAGTTTAAATGCTTCAACGCATTTGGATGTTTCGTGATGTAATGCATGTAAGGCGGCTCCATTTGGGGAATCTAATTCAAGTTATTTTACGTCCATGGGAGCGTTTTCAGAAGCATGTAATCAAAGACGGACGTACAATTTCAAGGAACAACGCTCCAACCCAATCTTCGCCTTTCCCATCTTCTAACACGTCACCAAGCGCTTCTTGTAAACGCTCCGAAAACATATCCGAGAATACCGCAAGCTCGGTTATATTCCCGAATATTGTGCGCACGTCATCCTTCGTCATCGGTGGCCCGTAGTGACCTGAACTTGAAGACGACTCGGAGGACGTTGAGAGTGTGCGAAGTGATGAGTCAGATGAGCTCGGGGGAGTTGCGGGCAAGGGAAGGTGGAAAGGCGCTTGCCTTCCTGCATTCGGAAAAAAGGAAGTCTTAACACAGCTTCGTAATACTAGAAGAGGAAGCAACAATAGCTCACCGAGTGCCATTGGAATATGTACATTCCGAATGAAAGCCAAATCCGATGCGTACGCTCGTTCAGAGGAAAGTAATTCCTTAAGAGCGTGCTCACGCTTTGTAATAATGGCTGCCGAAGGAGCCAAAGTGATCTCTGTTTCGGCCTCCGATGCGATAGAGCGCAGTCCAATAGTTGCAGTAGGTGAGCTAAGCGACGAGTCATCGTCGTCCGGCGGGACAGGAAGTGGCTTTTCGTCGGACAATGACAAGTTGTCTGGTATTGCCATTTCGGACGCGGGTGTAGGGGGTAGTACTGGAGTGTTCAAAGAATACTGGTCCAGTAACGCAGTGAGCGAGGCAACGCTCTTCTTTCGGTTAGCAATTGTGTCGAGGTTATCCATCCGTAAAGTCGCTAGGGTGTCTCGGCGGTTGTACAAGTCTAACAAAGTATTGAAGGACGACACGCTCTTGGGCGATGGTCGCAATGGGGAACGCGGAGGCGGCGGCGGGGGCGGAACTGCAGACGGAGACGTCCGCGAGGGGGATACCATCGAGGGATGCTCGTCCTTCGGACTAATGGGAGGTGTTATGGGTTTCTGGTCGTCCTTCAGCCGAGGTGGAGGAAACGAAGGTCGTTGGAGAATTCCGCCCATGCGGCGAGAACGAGGACCGCCGGAAGTATTCGCCGAAAGTGTGACGAGCCCGGGCACGTTCTCCATTACACGCAGAGATGACCGAAAGTACCTTCGATGGGCAAAGTCGATGGATTACTGTTTGTGTTTCTCTTCGGAAGGTGAGTGGCCACACGTGAGTTTACGTGAAACACGGTAATTAAGCAGCAAGCACCCTATCGGGACGTCGATAGATACGATATCGGAGTAAAGCTTCCCAGGCAGGGGAAGGTTATTAAGTAGTTCGTGCAGAATATTGAATTCAAGCAATTAAAGAGGGTAATTCTGAAATGAAAGGGTTTAACCAAATGAGTTTCTAGCGGGAAAAAGGGATTCGCACAGTAGAGTTCCTTTCGAGGTTTAAATGAATAAGCAACACAGGATGTGTGATGAGCACAATGGCGTTGTGGAGTTGTTTGGAGATCGTCGGGAGTTTGAACAAAGGTCAGAGTTGTGTAACGCTTGATGTTGGAATATGTGGAATAAACCACGCGTTCAAGGGTAATGACGCGGTGAGAGAAATGGGCAGCGCTCAGAAACAGACCAAGGGCTCTGAAAGCTGGAACCCCACAGCCGTTTAGCTCGTGTTCCGACAGACAGGCTCAGTAAATCTAAACGGTCCGAGCAGACTCATGTAAGCCGCATGCCCTAACATTGTAGATCAGCTCTTATCGCGAAGTCGCGCACCTTCATGCCTCGCGGAAACCGCCTTGCAGAGGACTATAAGATGGCTCGCGCGCCTCTGGAAGTCTCAGCAATAAATCCCGAGCGCGAGTAAAGTTTAGACACGTTCCGCGATCGCGTCTGTGCTAAAGACGCGTCAAAGACCTCGGTGCTTCTTGATGCGGCTATGCGACGAGGAGACAATGTGGTTCGAAGGAAAGGATGATCGCCTGCCAGCTGGCGATGACTGCGGGTGACCAGCGACAGAAACAAAGTGGCTGAGCCGTGTCCACGTCGACCCGACCCGCTTGTGGTCTGGTGCCAGTGGCAGAATACAAACGAGTAATCAGCCGTGGGAACATCGCCCCGAATTATCTCCGCACTTGACGCGACTGCGAAAACAAGGTGGTCAGAAATTCGTATTTACGAAAACAAGGCCAGACAGCATTAGCAGTCGTTAGCAGTCAACAGTGCCTTTGAATTTGGCGAGGCCTGGGGTGGAGTGGGACAGCAAGTCATTGATTTCATTATTTAAAGATAACGCTGTGCAAATCGAAAGAAAGCTCAGACTCAGATTTCTACTCTCTTCCCTGTTCACCCTATCCTTCCCATTCAATAAGGTATTACTAACCTCTACCTTAGTAGTGCTAGTCAATAATGTGAGAGACTTTGTAGATTTTGTCTGTATTATTAACACGTCTAGAGTACACAAGGGCTTAGTCTGAGAACAGGAGGTTATTGTTTAGAATGTAACACTTGAGTTAGCTTTAGTGCTCCGCACCGTAGCGTAATTTACGGATACGCCTGCAGCGTATATGCTTACGCACCGTATTGTAAGAGAAAATTTTAGCTGAAAATACAAGTGTATATTTACACACATATGTGTATACTATAAGTAAAAAATTTCCGTATATGCTGTATACGAGTATACGGTATTACTAAGCATATTCTCTAATTAAATACTAAGTTTGAGTTTCTAAACCTCATTTACTTTACTTATTTATATACCAAATCATTTTAATACTATATAACAACCTTGTTTAACTTAAAAAGTACTAGTATGAGTACTACAGGTAGTATAGTTACTATGGTACATCACATGAAGGTTTAGAGCTGTTATGTGATATTAACTCACAACACTCAACTGTCTTATTTCTGTGTGTAAACAGTACTACTATACATTTTCTTAGCTTAGTAATATCAAGCATTTGTTTTGAAAGATGATAGTGTACTTTTATGAGCTATTTTAATGTAAAGTATCTTGTTATATTTGGCACAGTGTATATACTGTATATACTGTATACAGAAGTAGTGTATTGTATATAGGTCCTGCTGACCCAGTTTATGCCTGTAATTATACACACATATGTGTATATGTGGGAAATTTTATGTGTGTAAGCATATACACTATGCACAGAGTACTAGTTAGCTTGAATAGAACTCTAGAAAGGTCTGATTTGATTCTAGAAGTTCTAAAGTATATTTGGATTTGTCTGAGTTTACTATAATAATAAAGTACAGTCTATTATACTTCTGTATAAACTTAGCAGCTCAACCTAGAGTATTTACTTAGTAGTCCTAACAGTAGTTCTGAGTCAATAACATTACTTAGTCCCTTACCTAGAACTGATCCTCTTCTGTCTGATACTAGTTTGTATAGTAGGCCTACTATATTTTTACTACTAACAGCTAGTTATAAGTATCTACTACCTGTTAGTAGATTCAGGCTACAAAATCCTCTACCTCTACTTCTAGAGTATGTAGTTCTAGTAGTTCTAAGGGTAGAACAAGTAGTAGAACTATATAAGGGGTAGATCTGTATTAGAGCTAGAACAGAGAGTATCTAGTAAACACATTTACTAAGTTTATAATGTAGAAACAGACTCATAGAAGTTTAGACTTCTATCCCTGTTACTGTTAGTTTATATAGAACCTAAGGAGCTAGTTTACTGTCTTATTAGTACATTCACTAGCTCTATCAGTTTCAGAGTAGTAGGCTGTAAACATTACACCTGTCTGTTTATACAAGGTAGTCTAAAAGTAGGATAGGAATAAGTGGTTCTAATCTGATACAATTTCTAGAGGTAGTCTGTTCTCACAATACTACTTGCTAAAGAATAGCTTTACAAAGTCTTCTACTATTATCTCTATTTAGTAGGGTTTGTATTAGATTGTACTCTAGATTAGGAAATCCTCAATTGCCTTTTGTAGAGTTACTATACTAAAAATAAGAAGTAAAGTGTTCTTTTGTACAGGAGTTAGTAGATTATCTAGGCTTTGTAATTAGTAGAGGAGAGGTCTGTATAGATCTAGCAAAGGTAACTGTAGTTTAGAACTGGCTACAACCTTAGAACCTGAAACAGGTCTAAGTATTCCTTAGGTTTGCAAACTACTACTAACACTTTATTCAAGGCTTTAGTACTATTGCCTGGCCCCTTTACAATCTTACTAGCAAAGATGTCCCTTAGTAATAGAGTGATTAGTAACAGTCTGTATTTAAGTCTCTTAAGTAGACTATTACTAGTAGGTCTGTATTAGTAGTTCTAACAGTTGTGGACAGGTTCCAAGTTAAAGCCAACTCTTCCAACTTTACAAATAGAGTAGTACTGTCCTAGTTTATTGACAGAAAGTAGTGTTCAATAGTGTTCCAATCAGAATCCCTCTCTGTAACAGAACAGAACTACTCTATCTATAACAAGGAACTCCTTACAATTATTTGTTCCCTAGAGGAGTAGTGTTAATATCTCCTTAGTACTGTACAGAAGTTTAAGATTTAGAGTAATCACCTTAATCTCTAGTACTTCTGAGTGCCTCAGAAGCTCAACCACTGTCAGGCCTACTAGATGTTAGAACTGTAGAACTATAACTTTGTACTAACCTACAAACCTGGAATACAAATGACAAAAGCTGATTTACTCTTAAGACAAGTAGGTTATAAAAGGGGGGAGAATGATAATAAAAATCTTGTTCTCCTAGACAATTCCTATTTCACATCTGAGACAATCTAAGAGATCTGACTTGAATCTAAGAATGTTGACTTTGTCACCTACATATAGTAAGCTCTAAGACACACACAGGACCAGATTGTAGTAAAGTAGCTAGAGAAGCAGGCTAGAGACTAGGAGGAGGATAAGGATGGACAGGTTTACTAGGAAGGCCAACTATACATTCTAAAGAATCAGAAGCTGTAGAAGGACATTGTCTGAGCTTATTATAACAATCTAACTGTAGGACATCTAGGGTAACATAAAACACAGGAACTCATTACTCAGAACTACTAGTAACTAGGAATGTAGAGAGAAATCCTAAAGTACATGACTGGTTACAATATGTACTAACAGACTAAGGCCTACTAGACAAGGGTTTAGACTCCTCTACATCTGTATTGAATCCTAGATTACTCTTAGGAAGAAGTCTTAGTAGATCTGATTAGTAAGCTACTTAAGTCTTAGAGTTACAATACTATCTGTATAATTGTCAACTAATTCTCTAAGTAAGTCTACACAGTTCTGACCTGAATAGAACTCACTTCTGAAAGTATAGTATGTATCTATCAGGATTACATCTTCTAGTTACACAGACTCTCTTAGAAGCTCATTCATAATTGTAGACTATAATTTGAGTCAAAATTCATACAGGACTTGTATACACTTCTTAGAATTTAAGGCAACTCTTCTACTATATATTACTTACAGACTAATAGTCAAACTGAGAGAGTCAATTAGGAGATTAAGCTCTATCTTCAAATGTTTATTAATCATTAGTAGTCAGACTGGTCTGAATAGTTAGCTCTAACAGAATTTGTACACAATAACTAGTAACACTCTACAACAGGACAGTCTCTGTTCTTTCTTAACTATAAGAGACATTTATACTAGGGGACAGTTCTGAACTAGAACAGTAGTTCTGAATCTGTAATAGACTTTACAGAACAGATACACAAGACTAGGAAGAATGTATGAGCTCTTTTAGAGAAGGTAGTATAGGTTATAAAGTAGAACTATAATTGGAAGAGGTCTGTAGCTAAGGATTACTAGCCTAGTAACAAAGGTATACTAGAAGCTATTAATCTGATGAAGAGTTCTGATTTTGGTTACTATCAGATCTTCTTGATTTTATTTAATTCTTTGGATTACATAATCACTTTCTTCATGTAGTTAGTTCTTTCCTATTTGGAATGGACAAGAGAGAGTTTTGACCAGAGCCTACAATGACACTAGAGGGAACAAGCCCACCAAAACCTTGCCTCTCATTTTGGAGCCTACTGTAAGGGGTGGTGCCTCTGTTCTAAAGTGTCTGGGTTGTTTTTGTCTTGATCTTGGCCTCAAGGGCCTTGCTACCACCTGAGGCACAGGCTATCTCCACTCTAATTAGAGGGGTTACACAGCCCTTGTAGTCCCTCTAATTAGAAGGGAGTTCAGTCTTTTCCCCATACTGCACTTAATACTAAGCACAATACTTACTTAATAAAAATAATATTACAACACACGTTACACTCTGATTAGATTACTCAATACATGTATGATGTAAGCGTCCACAATGCGACACACGTCAATGAGACACATCACAGTACTGAGCTCATTGTCTGCCACAATGAGCTCGTTTATATAGCTCATTTCTTCACCATTTATACCTGTTCTTTTTCTATTAGCCTTGTATATATTAATTAATTCATATTGTCAATTAAAAATATGGTTCTTGGTAAATATTATCAAAAAAAAGTCTGCCTTGCTTAAGTAACAATGCATGTTTTGAGTTTTATGTATAAGTAAGCTAGCATTTGTAATATCTAACTTATTATTTTAATACAGGATACAGTAAATTATGCTAAAACAGAGAAAATAAATTAACAACAACATGATGTAAGTGTGTATACCAATGTGCATCAAGGTAAGATTTGTATTTCAACAGGACTACAGGAAAGGTAATCAAGCTGGTCATGCTTGCAAAGCTCAGATGATTCTA